TATATATATATATATATATATATATATTTTTTTATTTTTTTATTTATTTATTTATTTTTTGATTTGTGGTGGTTTTTTGGTGACGATGATGCAGTGTGGGGATTGAGATAGCAAAAATTGAAATAAGGTATGAACATTTGTCAGTAGAAGGGGATGTACACGTTGGGATCAGAGCATTGCCCACTTTGATTAATTCAACAATGAATGCAATTGAGGTGATTTCTGAAAATTTATCTATATTTATTTTTACCTGTCTAGTAAATGAAATATCCATTAATTATGTATTCCAAGTATCATTATTAATAAAAAGTTTCACTTCTGTCAATGTCCATGCATCAATCTTGACATTTAATGATGTTCTTATCTGGTTCATTAATGTTACTGATTGAACGAATAAGGATTGTGAATTCTCATGTCTGATTCGGTTTGTAATGCATGACAGAGCATTTTGGGACTAATACGGCTCGCCACTGCTAAGAAGAGAAAAATTCAAATACTTAAAGATGTCAATGGCATTGTTAAACCATCGAGGTATTATGTGGGGCCTGAAAATCGCGACTCTTAAGTTCAATTATCATGTGGGACGTCGTTAACTTGTTGGTTTTCAGGATGACATTGCTTTTGGGCCCACCAGGTGCAGGAAAAACAACATTTTTGCTCGCACTTGCTGGAAAGCTTGGTTGTAATCTAAAGGTATGTTTTAGATATGTTTGATGCAATGTCATCATTTGATTGTCCTTTTCTATTCCTAGTTTTGATATGTAATTTTAAACAGCAATCTGGGAAAATTACCTATTGTGGGCATGAATTGCATGAATTCGTACCTCAAAAAACATGTGCTTATATCAGTCAACATGATCTTCATCATGGAGAAATGACAGTGAGGGAGACGTTAGATTTCTCAGGTCGTTGTTTGGGTGTCGGTGCAAGATATGAATTGTTGGCAGAACTTTCAAGGCGTGAGAAAGCAGCAGGAATTAAACCCGACCCTGAGCTTGATGCATTCATGAAAGCCATATCAATATCTGGCCAAAAAAACAGTCTGGTTACAGACTATGTTCTCAAGGTTTTGTCGTTTCTAATTCTTGTTTCTAACAGGCAAGTCGAGTTTAAGAAAATCTTACCCCCTACGAACTTTATAACAGGTACTTGGATTAGATATTTGTGCGAATATCATGGTTGGTGATGATATGAGGAGAGGTATTTCAGGAGGACAAAAGAAACGTCTGACTACTGGTATGTTCTTGATATATTTGGTGTAACTTTTTAGTAGTGTTTACTTTTAGTTTTCAGGGGTTTAAATTGGCGTAGAAATTTCAATCCAAAATTCATCATCAAATGAAAAAAGACTCTTATCGATGAATCTAGACGGAGTAACCAGTACAATAGTTCATCCTTTTCATCCTGTTCAGTGATGTCAGTACAAAGTTTTGTCTTTCAGGAATATGTACTTGTCATTCTTCTGCTTCGTACCTTAACACTGATCATTATTACTGAAGAACACTATGCTCTAATTGATGCAGGGGAAATGTTGGTCGGCCCAGCTAGAGCTCTTTTCATGGATGAAATATCAACTGGGCTAGACAGTTCCACCACCTATCAGATTGTCAAGTACATGAGGCAAATGGTTCACGTTATGGATGTCACCATGATAATTGCTTTACTTCAACCAGCTCCAGAGACCTATGATCTTTTTGACGACATTATCTTGCTATCAGAAAGTCAAATTATCTACCAAGGTCCACGAGAAAAAGTTCTTGATTACTTTGAGTTCATGGGATTCAAGTGTCCTGAACGTAAAGGAGTTGCTGACTTTCTTCAAGAAGTGACGTCCAAGAAAGATCAAGGACAATACTGGTTTAGGAAAGACCAACCGTACATTTATATCTCAGTTCCCGAATTTGCAGAAGCCTTTGGTTCTTTTCATATTGGCCAACAGCTCATTGCAGAACTCCGTGTTCTTTATGATAAATCGAAAGCCCATCCAGCTGCTTTGGTGAAAGATAAGTACGGTATCTCCAACTGGGAACTATTTTTGGCATGTTTTTCAAGGGAATGGCTAGTGATGAAGCGTAACTCTTTTGTATACATATTCAAGATGGCCCAGATAACCATTATGTCTATTATGGGCTTCACAGTGTTCTTGAGAACAGAGATGCCGTATGGGAGACTACAAGATGGAGGGAAATTCTTTGGAGCCCTTTTCTTCAGTCTTGTCATCGTAATGTTTAATGGGATGGCTGAACTTGCAATGACAGTCTTCAGACTTCCTGTTTTCTATAAACAAAGAGATCTCTTGTTCTATCCATCCTGGGCTTTTGGTTTGCCTATTTGGATACTCGGAATCCCCATATCGTTTATGGAATCTGCTATTTGGATTATTCTTACGTATTACACAATCGGGTTTGCTCCAGCTGCTGGCAGGTGAGATGTTCACAGTTGTTTTTTTAAACTACAATATCACATTCATGCATCAAAATGTCAAGCATAATTCATAGTTTATCATACTCTTTAATCAGATTTAAAGCACTATTACTCTTTATGATGTAGGTTCTTTCGGCAATTCTTGACATTCTTCAGTATACATCAGATGGCCCTAGGTCTATTCCGATTTATTGCTGCAGTTGGAAGAACTCAGGTTGTTGCAACCGCATTAGGGACCTTCACTTTGTTAGTGGTGTTTGTCCTTGGGGGTTTTATAGTTGCCAAAAGTAAGTTTCTTGAAATATTCTCATCACTTTAGAATCTTTGTTACTATAAACTAAGCAAATTATAGTGTACGTGACTTGTGCAATGCTTTTTAATATGTGATGGTCACTCTAGTTAAAAAGGGCGAAAAATGGATCAATAGTTTTTAGATCACACAATGATGTTTTTCCTTTGGTGATTGCAGATGACCTTCAGCCATGGATGAAATGGGCCTATTACATTTCTCCAATGAGTTACGGACAAAATGCTATAGTGATGAATGAATTTCTTGACAAAAGATGGAGTACAGTAAGTGCCCTCAATAGTTTATCGATGAGATGTCATGTATTCTGTAATATGCACTCAATATTTGACCTTTTGCTTCACTTCAATGGAACAAAGAACCCTTCATCAGATTCTTGACCCTTTTCTGGATGCAGCCTAATACAGATCCCCGTTTCAATGAACCTACTGTTGGAAAAGTCCTCCTCCAGTCGAGGGGCTTCTATACAGATGACTACTGGTTTTGGATTTGCATTGGTGCACTCATATGCTTTTCTTTTCTCTTCAACATTTTATTTATAGTAGCACTCACTTTCTTAAATCGTAAGTTATTTATAACCTCTACTAATTTTAGTTTCCTTGCTTGTGAATGGAACCTGAGGTTAATCAAAATTACCTTGAAATCAATTTTCAGCTTTGGGTAATTCAAACACTATTGTGTTGGATGAGAATGAGAGTAAAAAGAAGAAGTCGTTCTCTGGAAATAATATCACAGGGGCATCTGAAGGTATAGTGCTTTTTCACTTATCATTCTTGTTTACTTATTTTTATCCATGAGAGTAATCTTAGTATTAAATCAAGAAATTAAGAGCGTGTTTCGTACACTTGGATAAACTGGACACTCAAATTAACCAAAATTTAGCTTATTTTTCTTCTTGTACGGTCCAATCCTCCTTATTAAACATGTCACCATTGGATAATAAGAGCCTTTCTCCTCTCTTTGGGAGGACTGGGATGTTTGAACCATATATATCGTCTTGTCTGGAACTCGTTTTCTATTGATCACTATCAGCACTAGAAAGTATCTCATGTTTATCTTTTACAGAAGAAAGTATGAATAATTCATATATTATATATGAGGAAGAAAGAAGTTCTCAGTTAGTGGTTTCGTGTTGAGCAGTAAATTGTTCGTCTAGATAATGCTCGTCTAAAACAAGAAAGAAAAGGTATGCATTAAAAAACGAGTTTCATAGTATCACTAATTACTTAACTACAGGTGTAGATAAGGAAGTGAAACGTGCTTCAATGAGTTCAGACTCGAATATTGACACTGTGAACAGTGCGCCCAAAAAAGGAACGTTGTTGTCTTTCCAACCACTTTCAATTGTTTTCGACCATATAAATTACTATGTGGATATGCCTGCTGTAAGTATCTTCCTTAACATTTCATTCTATATTTTCAATTTTAATTTTTATCTAGTCATTGGTCGACGTCGAACTGAGCTTCTTAACGTCAGTAGACACGATCAGTGGAACAAAGCACCTATACTTATTTTTCCCTTTGATAAATGAAATAATGGGATTAATGGGAATTCATTTTTCACATCAGCAGATAGCATAATCATTAAAAAGTTGCTGAATTATAAGATGCCTCATTATCCCCTTTCTATTCAAATTAACTTGGAAAGTTTACTACTGAACCAGGAGATGAAAACTCAGGGAGTTGAAGAAAATCGTCTCCAACTACTACAAGATGTTAGCAGTGCTTTCAGACCTGGGATATTAACAGCAATTGTGGGTGTTAGTGGGGCTGGAAAGACCACCTTGATGGATGTGTTGGCTGGAAGAAAGACCGGTGGATATATTGAAGGGACTATCAACATTTCGGGTTACCCAAAGAACCAGGCCACGTTTGCACGAATTAGTGGATACTGTGAGCAGAATGATATTCATTCCCCCAATGTTACTGTTTATGAATCTGTTCTGTACTCTGCTTGGCTTCGTCTTCCTGCAGATGTGAAAACCAACGCTAGAAAGGTATATTTTTATGGATTATGCCTAAATTCCAAAACCAGAGAGAAATAATGAACGATGAATAAGAAATGCAAGACAGAAACAGAGAGATTTGTAGTGATTCACCCTCAATACGAGAGCTACTTCCACTCTGCAAATTTCACTAATTTGAGAAGTTCCCAACTGAAATCTCACGCCTCTCTGTGTCTTTCACACACTACACGCAAAAGCAACCCTCTCTCAATCCTTTATACAATGTAAGTAATTTAAACGACCTAATGCACAAATGTGAATGTCCAATACACCCCTCTTAATTAAAGAGTATGATTACTCTCCACACAATCCAACATATATTACTTGATTATATGAAATTCTTTCTCTGAGTTTACATGGAAGTACAATCTACCTCCATTGTTATCTTGACTATAGATGTTTGTTGAAGAAGTGATGGAATTGGTTGAGCTTAACACGATAAGAAATGTCTTGGTCGGGCTTCCGGGAGTTGATGGCCTTTCAACAGAACAGAGAAAGAGGTTAACAATAGCTGTAGAGTTAGTTGCTAACCCATCTATCATCTTCATGGATGAACCAACATCGGGCCTTGACGCCAGAGCTGCTGCTATAGTTATGCGTGCTGTGAGAAATACAGTGGATACAGGCAGAACGGTGGTCTGTACAATTCATCAACCAAGTATAGACATTTTTGAAGCATTTGATGAAGTATGGTCAAGATTTATGATGCATTGTGGATTTTTATTTTATTTTTTTCCCTTGAATCTTCCATTCTTTTCAGATGCCTACAGCTAATTATTGACTTGATGCAGTTACTTCTGATGAAGACAGGAGGGCGGGTCATTTATGCTGGACCACTTGGTCACCACTCTCACAAGCTGCTAGAATATTTTGGAGTAAGTATCATTTTCTGCTGTTCTTTGATTCAACTTATCGAGCAAAATCAATAGACTAATTAAGCATAATTGCTTATTTTCGTGTTTCTTCACTTTGAGCAACACTTTGATTGTAAATATTTTCAACATATGCCAGGCTATTCCTGGGGTTCCAAAGATTAGAGACGGGTACAATCCAGCTACATGGATGCTGGAGATTAGCACGCCAGCAGTTGAAGGTCAACTAGGAGTCAATTTTGCAGATATATTTGCCAGCTCCTCCCTCTATCAGTAAGCAAAACGCGAAATGACTTATTCTGAATATTTGTTTATGATTTTCTCGGATTTTTAGATTATCCTGCAAATTATTTTTCCCTCAAAAAATTTTCAGGAGAAATCAAGAACTTATCAAAGAACTCAGTACCCCTCCACCAGGTTCTAAGGATCTCTATTTCCCAACAAAGTACTATCAATCATTTCTTACTCAATGCAAAGCCTGTTTCTGGAAGCAGCATTTGTCTTACTGGAGGAATCCGCAATATAATGCCATTCGGTTCTTCATGACAATAGTCATAGGTATTATATTCGGTGTCATATTTTGGGACAAGGGACAAAAAACGTAAGCCCATAATTTCCTTTGTCACATCCTTCTATGATGGCATTCTTAAGTTATCATAGACATGTCTACTGCATATGGTTCGCCTTTGGCTTGGTTAAATGAAATTACACATTCGATTTCTTCGTTTATTTGATTACATAAATCTTTTTATTGATTTTGGAAAAGCTAGCATTTATATCTGAGGCGACATCAACTTTATGTAACAGCCAAAAACAACAAGATCTACAGAACCTTTTGGGAGCCATCTATGCTTCTGTTCTTTTCCTTGGAGCCAGCAATTCTTCAACTGTGCAAGGTGTTGTTTCTATAGAGAGAACAGTATTCTACCGTGAAAGGGCAGCTAGAATGTATTCAGCGCTGCCTTATGCATTTGCTCAGGTATCATTATACATTTCAGCGTATCTAATTATGAGTAAATTTTAGAACTCTTTCTGCAAGCTGGCTTTTTTTAGGCCGAAGCATAAGAAGTATTTTACTATAATATAACTACTAAAGTCACATTAGGCACATGATCAACATTCAACTGTCTATAAATCTTATTTTCTTCAGGTGGCCATAGAGATAATCTACATCGCAGTTCAGACTATTCTGTACTCTCTTCTACTCTATTCCATGATTGGGTTCGAGTGGGAAGTCGGAAAATTCTTCTGGTTCTACTATTTTATTTTGACGAGCTTCGTCTACTACACGCTGTACGGGATGATGCTTGTGGCGCTGACTCCAGGTTTCCAGATTGCTGCCATTGTTATGTCTTTCTTCATCAGTATCTGGAACTTGTTCTCGGGTTTCCTTATCCCCAGGACAGTGAGTACAGACAGATTAAACATGAAACTTTTACAGACAGATTAAACATGAAACTTTATTATTTTTTTAAGTCCCAAAAGTTAAATCTCTAATGGCATGTTTGGTACGCTTAGACAGTACAATGAACAAGATTTTAACTATTTTTTCTTCATTAATATGCTGTCTAATTCACTCTACCAAACATGCCATAAAGTTCCTTGGAAGCTGACTCTTTTTTATGACTGCAGCAAATTCCAATATGGTGGAGGTGGTACTACTGGGGTTCGCCCGTTGCTTGGACAATTTACGGTCTAATCACCTCTCAAGTTGGCGATAAATCTTCGCTACTAGAGGTGCCTGGAGCTGGTAATATGACAGTGAAGGCGTATCTTAGTGAAAGCTTGGGTTTCAAACACGACTTCCTTCCAGTTGTGGGCATAATTCATATAGTTTGGGTTTTCATTTTCTTCTTCGGCTTTGCCTTGGGCATCAAGTTCTTCAACTTCCAAAGAAGATGATGAAGAGCTTAGCATATTGCAGTTTGAAAAAATAAGTATTTGTTTTTTCCCAATCCACTCCCAATTTTTTCTGTTTTTATACATTCTCAATCTTCGTGTCTGGTTTTGCTGCTATATTGATTGTGAACATATGTTTGAAAGAAAGGAGAGTGCTTTAAAGTAATTTATATTTACAGAGTTCTTTTTCTAAGATCGTGGCCTTGTATAACAGAAAAATATGAAAACTGTTATAATTATTTCCTCCTGGTTTTACTGAAAGAAGATGATGAAGAGCTTAGCATATTGCAGTTTGAAAAAATAAGTATTTGTTTTTTCCCAATCCACTCCCAATTTTTTCTGTTTTTATACATTCTCAATCTTCGTGTCTGGTTTTGCTGCTATATTGATTGTGAACATATGTTTGAAAGAAAGGAGAGTGCTTTAAAGTAATTTATATTTACAGAGTTCTTTTTCTAAGATCGTGGCCTTGTATAACAGAAAAATATGAAAACTGTTATAATTATTTCCTCCTGGTTTTACTGAAATTTTATGAATTGTTCTTGGGGTACATAACCCCAAATATAAAGGTGTACATAATGGAGGCGCCCCTCCAATAGGGGGCGCCGGGTTCTGTGCCCCATGTTCCTCAAGAATAACCCAAATTTTATTGGCTTGGCGTTCCTCCATTAACTATAGTGGTTCATCACGACTTTCAATGCCTATTTTCAAGAGCCACAGTTATCGTCGCAAAGCAAAACTACAATGTCAGAAAGAATAGCTTCATTCAGAGCAAGACGAAAATAAGCTTTTAAATTTTGCACTACGTTCAATGAATCACACTCAATCCAATGGATAAAATTTCTTTTCTACCATCCAACTAGTAAAAAATCATCTGTCTCTTGCCCATATCCAAGGGGGTAAGTTTTGTAACCTCATTTTATACGTGGACGAAGTAGCAATTCTTTCTTACTGATAATTGGTACGACAAAGGTTCTAATCTCCTGACCCCAGTAGACAGGATAGAAACTTTTAACTTACTGATAATTGGTGCAACAAAGGTCCTAATCTCCTGCCCCTGGTAAGAGATCAATTCTAATACAGTGCTTGTTGGCTGATTTGAATATAGGAGTTAGGACAAAGCACTAAAATGTCATCTAGAACAACCATGCTCAAGTAATCTACTCTGTGCATATACTTTTTCAACTTGTATTAAATAAACTCTAAAATCGACTATATACTGTTTGTGAATGTTTTAACAGAACTATGGCAAAAATTCCTTTCATCCCCTTTATTTCTCTCGGAAAATTAAAATATTTAACGTAATAACAAAACAAGACAAAAGTGAAGGAAATCATTTTCTAATTATTCTCACTTCCTGAACCATCAGAGCTTGAATTGTCGCCGCCTCTAACATGGGCAAAGCCATTTGCCACAGATCCATTGGCATCTTTTCCTTTAACATCTTCATCGTCTTCACTGTACTCACTCTCGTAATCATCATCATATTCATCTTCTTCCTCCACCTCATCGCCTTCATCCTCTAGTGCCGGTAACTC